GGTTGAGTTAAATGATCTCACTTATACGTGGATTCTAAGGAACTGAATGGATGGGAGAAGTGGATGGAGATAGTCTCAGAGACACAGAGGAAGAAGAGGGGGTTGTTACTTTGTGAGGGTGAAAAGGGTAACTATTGCATTGTTCTGTACACCTGAAACTAACAATAAAAAAAAATAAATTAAAAAAAAGAAGGTTGAGTTAATTAAGAAGGTTGGTTATGCTTCATGGAACCCTCCTTACATCTTCTCTTTTGATTCTAAGGTATGGGAAATGCTGCAAATTGACCTCAATCCATTGAGATCTTGCTTCCAGACATGTCCTCAAAATTATGGCTCAAATAAACTCTTATAAAACTTTTCTATAGGCTGGACATTCTTTCATGGATAACAGAAATATAAAAGTAACCCTGACTTAACCTTTCTGTGCCTCATTTTGCTCATTCAAAAATGGAAATACTAATGCCAACCTCAGAAAATTATTGATGGTTAAATGAGTTAATATATTAAAAATATTTAAAATGATTGCCAGGTAGTACTAATAAGTATTATGCATTATTATAATCTCAAAATATATGATGGTGTGTGTGAAAGCAAGGAGATGCAAAAAGGGGCATGAAAGTATTCATTTTATTCTCAAAAATAAATTTTTATATGTTCAATGGTTTAATGTTATAATATCTAGGATATATTCATAAAACATTTTAAAGAGAAACAGGGAGCAGGTTGGTTAAAGGGCCTGGTGAAAAAGCCAGGGAGACGGATTAGAGGATTAGCTTATTAAATCCAAAATGTCATAAGTGTTGACCATGGTTGCCAGGAAAATAAAAATGGACTGACAGACAAGACATTCTTCTGCTTCAAGACTATGTTGCCTGTACTTCTATTTAATATCCTTATGCCCAATCTTTGTATTCCTGCTGCTCTCCATTAATCACTCAACAAATGTTACTGTTACCCACTGCTGTTACTCTTGCAGTGGCAGACTACCTGAAAGCACAATTCAATAGTATCACCTATTTTTCCACGTTGTTCATATTTGAGATGTATATGGTAGCTGCTCCCTGAAGACTGTTGTTTGTGAATCTACCAGTTAAAAAACAGGCATCTCTATTTACTATAGCTAGCTCCATGCTCGGTTTATTAATGTTGAGTAAGTATGAATTGCTAATGTTCACAACTGAATATGGGTAGCCTTCTGAGTTCACGTTGTAGTTTTAAAAGGTCTTTTTGTGTTGTCATATTTTATGGTCATCTGTTTAAGTAAAGTGCTTTGTAAATTCTGTTGGAAATGCCAGCCTTGTTTCTGACAAGACCGTGTCTAAGCAGGGCCATTTCTTATATACTGATAAACTAAATTTAGTCACTTTTGTTTTGAGACATAGTTACTTACAAATTAGACATTTTGATGTAGGTCAAGTTAATTAAGGTTGTTTATGCTTTCATTTGTAAAGGGTCCTAGATGTTTTTAATGTATTCTTGATATTTAAAATCCACTTAAATGAGCTTAGCATATAAAAATATGTATGCTTTCCTGTTACGCACACTATGGGATTTCTGACCAGGCTGCCTTAAAGGCTAAGGGTTGACCACATCTCAGTACCACTGCTCAGCTCGATAGCCTTGACAGAGTGCAGTTAATTCAACATTTACAGGCATATCTCCTTTCCTTGTGCTTCACCTTATTGCACTTCACAGATGTTGCATATTTTTTACAAAATGAAAGCAAGACCCTCCTCCAGCAAAAAGATTACTATTTGCTTCATTGCCATGGTCTGGAGCCAAACTGGCAATCTCTCTGAGGTATGCCTGTATAAGAGTAGTCCTTGCTCAGTCTCCCAGTCCTGCGTTTTCTGGGCAGTGAAAAGCCCTCTTCTCCCAATTGTTTAATTAATCACAACTCTTATATAATCTCATCTACTTACTGACACTTGTTCCTAACAGTCTAATGGTTCCTCTTTTATCTTCTCTTTTACTGGCCTAATTCCTGATTGAACTCCAATTGCTTCATTCTTTCTCAATCTTTCCTGACCTCTCTGCAAATGTGTTACCCTTTCTGCTGAAACCCTGAAGGTTATTTCTAGCCTACTATCACAAATCCTAAGAGTAGCTACCAAAAACTGAAACTGAGGAAGAGTCTCTTTATCAAGGTGACTCTGCTCTCTCTTAATGTTCCCTAAGCCCCACCTCCATTAGCTTCTATAACTTTTACCCCGATAGCCTCCTGCTTCTTTCACTATTCCCCTTTTTTCATGTATTTTACCTACTTTTACAATTCATCTACTACAACTCCACCCCCATACTAACTCTATTCACCATAATTATTTCAAGTTTACTGAAAACACCTACTGTCTTGGCACATACCCCATATGCCTGTGGTGCCCTTTCCTCTTTCCTCTTGTTCTTGGGACAAGCATTTACAATTCCTTCACCATCCAGCTGCCTCCATCTTCCCTTCTAGGGAACTGTCCCTAGCCTACCTACCTAAGCACTGTTAATCACTTTCACCTAGGTTATTCCAGCATGGTAGCATTTAACAATCTCTCCCGTGTAATAATCTAATTGCATGTAGTTTCTCGTCAGTGCGTTGCCCCTTCAAAGCAGGAATTCCATCCTATTCATCTGTGTAATCTTAGACCCTAAAAGCATGCCAGGCACTCTGCATTTGCTAATCAAGAGATAATGGCTCTCAAGTTGGGCTTCCTCACATTTACTGCCTGTCTACAGCGTTTCCAATGCTGCGGTACCTAAAACGCCATGTGTTCGACACTCCAATTCGACAAATATTGTATTAGTGACTTAACTGGCTAGTGGCCCTCGCAGAGGCAAAACCAACTAAGATCAGCTCCCCGCTGTTGCTTCACTAAAACGGCATTTACATGTTGCAGTCATAAGGTGGGAGGTGGGAAGCAAGCGCTCTGGGTAGGGTCGGCGCAGAACAACGTTAACGGCAGGATGGGAGGAAGCACTGCAGGCACAATCATCCGTTTAAACAAGGACAAGCATGCATTCGAGACTGCGGACTACTCAACAGCTGCCGATTAAGCCGACCAGTGCACCTACCTGGTCTCGGCGAGCTTCCAAGAAGGGGCCGTTACACCCACGTGACCAAAGGAGCAATGTTTTCGCTAGCCAGGGTGTATGGGTACAGTCATCTCAGCGGGTCCTGACAATGTTCGGTAACATGGGCTGCTAGGCCGAACGGTGAAAGGGGTATATGAGTGAACGATGGGCCAGGCCTTTTTCAATGGAAGGGTGCAACCTCGACAGAGGAGCAGTGGACGCTGGGGTGGCATGGGGTGCCGTTTCCAAAGATGGGGTGAGACTCTGGGCTGAGAGCACGCTGATGGGTGGGAAAAAGCAAAGAGGCACCAGGGCCGACCTGGGCCTATTCGAACGTCAACCGCTTCTTACCGAGAACTGAGAACCTGAAGTCGCAGACACCGACGCTGCCGCCATCTTCCTTCCAGCCCAGCAGACCTCTGCAGCCCCGGGCGGTCCGGGTTCTTGTGCTCTTCTTCGATTCGACAGCCGCCCACCTGGGGCGACCCTAAGCAGAGCCCTTGATGGAAAGGGCTGCGGTGCTGGTGCAGGGTCTAGAAACCCCCGCCACACACCCACGCAGGGACGCCCACGCTCAGAGCGCACACGGAAAGGGCAACACGTTCTAACGGACGTCCGGAATAGCCAATCAAAAAAGCGGACGTCTTCCGGTACTAGGGGCGAATCCGCCTCTTTCCTCGGTAACGTCACAAGGCAGCGCGTAGCCGCGATCGCGGAGGCTGGCAACGCTGTGGGCTGCTCTACGACTCGGAGGGAATTCGACGGAGGGGCGGGTCTTCTCGAAGAGGAAACGTAAGCGAGGGGTTGTTTTTGTCCCCGGAGGTAATGGACTCGAATGATTGATACCGAATTAAAGCGAATGCGAAATTCAAACACTCCATCAGTTCCCTTGGACTAAACGCCAAGGAGAGCGTGAGCTTCACTCAGGGACGCCTCTCCAGGTGAAGTACCTACCTTTTGGGCAATAACAACTAGAATTAGGAGGGGCTGAATGATTTGGTCCAATACAAGTCAAGTGAAAAGCAGTTCAGGCCCAGAGCAAACCTTCGCGAACACTTGCCCAATTGGGTTGGGGAGCGCTCGCCCCGACCTGAGACCCACTGCCAGAAATAACCGCGACCCAGGCCTTTGGGCGGGGCGAGTTTAAAGCGGCTTTCGCGCGCCGAAAGCGTCGGGCTGTCATTGGCCAGCGACTTCCTCCCTTTGTGGGAGCTCCTTGCGTAGCCGGGGTTAGGGGTTGGGAGGAGCGACCGAGTGACGCATCACCTCCCCAGCTAATCAGGGATGGGGGAGGCCGAGAAGGAAGCGGATCCGCTGCCGCGCAGCTGAACTGCAGCGAACTACCCGCTTCGTCTCCCTCCGCCGCTATCGGGGCCTAAGCGGGAGCGGCTGGGACGGCGTCACTGGGTGGGCTGGGGCGGAAGTGGAGGCGGAGGGAGACGGCGGCGTCCACAGGGCCCTGGGCTCTCGCGGCGAGGCCCTGGTGGGCGCGCGGCAGGGGGAGGGGGAGGAGGAGGAGCCCGCGGCCCGGGCGGCGGCGGCGGCGGCGGCGCCCGAGTTCCCCGTAGGGCCCCGCCTCGGAGCGGGCGGCGGTGGAGGAGGAGACTGAGGAGCAGGATGGCGGCCTCGGCCCTGTACGCCTGCACCAAATGTACCCAGCGCTATCCCTTCGAGGAGCTCTCCCAGGGCCAGCAGCTCTGCAAGGTCCGTGGGCGCTGGGCGGCGGGCGGGCGGAGTTTCCTCGGTCGTAACCTGAGGGAGCTGGGTGTCCGCTGCACTGCAGTCTCGCTCTCTTTGCCGGCGCCTTGGGGATTTGGAGCCCTCGCCCCCTCACCCGGGGATCCCTTTATCGGATGACCTGAGCATCAGCTGGGAAAGGTCCCCGAGAGGAGACAGAATCCTGCCCTCTTCCTGGAGGCCCAGGAGTGGGCCGGGCCCCAGCAACATTCAGGGGTCTCAGGGGTGGGGCTGAGTGAGGCAGCCACCTGTCTATGCCGCAGAGACACTGGGGTGGAGATGTTTTCATCTCGGTTTTTTGCCTGGTCTGTCCTCTCCTTCCACCGGGAGGCAGGGGACGATTTTTGCACTTTCTTGCTAGGAACCTGAAGCAGCAAAGCTGATGGCATCCTTCTTCCCTGCCCAGGAAAGCGAAGCGACTGGCTTGGGAACAGAATGCTCTATGATTTGGAGCTCCTCCCATCCCATTAAAGCCGGGATGCTGTCTGTGAGCAACGGTGCAAAATAATAAGTAGTTTCACATTTAACCAATCCTTGACATCGGCCTTGACAGCTTTCTTAATTTATCTGTAGCACCCCCCACACGTAATAAAGACAAAGACACCTATGCCTTCTCTAAGGAATTACGCTGTAATTGGCCACTTATATGATAAATCACTTAATTGTTTACGTTGGGGGGCAGATTTTATTAATGTTTTAGACATTTGACTAGGTTAGGTAACAATATTTTACCAGAAAAGTGAAATTTGGGACTTGGAAATAGATACTGACTAATTCATTGTCTTATTACAGGAATGTCGGATTGCGCATCCTATTGTAAAATGTACTTACTGCAGATCAGAATTTCAACAGGAGAGGTTTGTATACTGAACAGTTTTTTATTGTAAAAGACCAAGTATTGTCTTGTAGGAAATTTGGGGGTTGGAACTCCATACTTGTATTAGAGTGTGTGTTTTTTTAATGGTTTAGCTTCTTAAATTTTAAGCTGTAAACCTATTAGACATAGGAGAGAGGATGTTGACAAAAAATATTAATGGTTGTTTCAGACCTAGGCTTCAGTTTGCACATGAGGAAGGAATAAATTACTGTATGTAAAGTGGATAGCCTTGCTAATGAAAAATTCAGATATAAGTTGGTATAATGAGCTAAAAAAAAAATAATAAATGGCACATTAATGCTGACATAGACCTGAGAGGAAAGGTTCAAAGGTGAAATGGAGTAACTTGTTACCAGTGGAAGAAGGGCACATGGTTTTTTTTTAATAGGATGATTCCTGTTAGAGAATTAGAACACACACGTGAGAGTAGCCTAAGAGAAAAAACAATTTCTCCATAGGTTGGTGTGGGCATCATAGTAGTGGAGAAGGCTTAGCAGAAGGCGAGGTAAGCACTGATATGTAATGCTATGCATAAATAGTGGCAAGTGTGAAGATTTTGGAACAAGCTAGAAAACATTAGGATTCTTTGTTTACCAAAAAATACAAAATAAAAGTGTATAAAAACATTTAAGTTAATGGAAGAGGAATAAATTTGAATAACATACAACCCTAATAAGATCCTGTGTTTGTATTTTAAAAAAAGTCTTTGGTTTATATTAGAGTTAAGTTTTAAGTACTACTAAAGCAAATAGTACTCTATCTGCTTTAGTTGAGCATTTTGCTGATTACCTCAGAAAGCTACATAAATCTGATCATCTATATACCATTTCCTTTTCAGCAAAACTAACACAATTTGTAAGAAGTGTGCTCAAAATGTGAAGCAATTTGGCACTGTAAGTATGTCATCTTTTCATTTCATGTATTGTTACTGGTCAGTAATTTTCACAAAGATGGACCTTTAAAAAATATGTATAGCTATATTCTTAAGTACTTCAACATATCAAAATATTTCAGGAAAGAAATTTTCTGTAGATAGTCTGATGAGATGATGACAACATTTAAAAACAGTCAGATAATGTGCTTGTTTTATACATGTTGAAAGTCAGTGTAAGATTTATGGTTTTCTTTAAAGATTCAAATATAGCAAACTAACTCCTGATTATGGAGACCCTACTTACCCGTAAAATTTGCATAATCATACTTTTCTCCCTTCAGAAACTCCCAACAGTTTTTATATAGCAGCACAATTCAGGCATTTAGTCACATAAGTCATGACATTATACTAGTAAAATTCTTTCCTTACATGTGTATTATAGTCATTACTGGTATGTTACAGTCATGATTAGTCAAAGTACTGCCCTTAAGATGCTATAAAATCCTGAATTGTCTTTTGAATATCAAAGAAAAACAAGGTATGTTTATTATAGTTTACATTGAATGTGCTTATGCCAGTTTTTTTTAAGTTGAAAACTCACCTAAAGTATATATTCCTTGCGTCATCTGTACCTGTATATGATGAAAGTTGTTAAACGTTTTTTGAATAAATGATATAGCTAAGTAGGATATCAAATTAGTAGAAATTTATTCCCCCAAATAACTGGATATATGAAAATTTCCTATCAATGCATACCTTTGTTTTTGTTTTTTAGACCCTTTTCACATGTAGCTTTTTCATTATGTAACGTACTCTGTGAATCATAAATGTTTCTCATGACCTTTTCTAACTATTCAATAGAGCAACAAAAAGTTTCATGACTAGAAATAAATTTTACTAAACGAATAGAAACATGATAAATTTCATTGATTATAGCAACATACAGCAGGTCCTCGAGTAATGTTTCTTTTTAGGACACTGATGAGATGTCATGGGAACTTAACTCTTGTTTATATCAATTACCCTAAGTAAAATTGGTTTCATTATGCATTGTCTCGTTTAGTCGCAGAACCTATTGAGGACTTAATGATTTGACAAAAATTTTGTTACTTATTAGTTTCTTTAATCCATAAGTGTCTATTTTATACAGCAAATTTTTAATATTTTCAAATGTCTCTGTTAAAGAAAACATATATTTGTTTTTCAGCCTAAGCCTTGTCAGTACTGTAACATAATTGCAGCATTTATTGGTACAAAGTGTCAGCGCTGTACAAATTCAGAAAAAAAATATGGACCACCTCAGACCTGTGAACAGTGCAAACAACAATGTGCTTTTGATCGGAAGGAGGAAGGAAGAAGAAAGGTATTTTTTATTTATAGGTATTATGACACATTCTGGAAATTAAATAAAACAAGAAACAAGTTGGAAGTTATTATAATTAATACACTTTTGAGACTTGATGTATTCTTTGGGCCCCTGAAAACGGGTAGTTAGCTGAAAGTGCAGGAACAGTGCATCTTCTTGTTTGTATCATACATAGATTCATGTTGATCATTTGAGATCACTGTACTTTAAAAAACATTCTGGGATGGCTATTCGGTGCTACTTGGTTATCCAACAGTTGGTTTGGGAAAATTACTAACTTCTAAATCCTTTTAGCTACTTACCCTTTTGCTGGTTACTTGAAGTTGCTGGTGTGAAAAACTATCTTATGGCTAATTAATATGTATGATTCAAAGTTACTCTTGTGCCTTTTGATTTGGGGCTCATGTTTTAAACGATTGTTTGTTTTTCTCTATCTACAGTGACTTAAAAACTATGTGTATGCATGTGCCATTCCTCTGCTGATCAGCATTCACTTCCCGTTGTCTCTCAGTTTCAGTTGATTTGGAGGATGACTCTCTTTGAGGGGCTCTCCTAGGTCCCCCCACAGCAATATATGTATCCTACTTATAAGAAATGTCCCCCCAGCACTTCTTGTGAGAACAAATAGAAGATAGAAACTTAAGACTTAATAATTTTAGAAAGAAGTTTCTTTTCCTCCCCATGTGACATGTACAGTTGATTCACATTATTTGTAGTAGTTCTGTTCTATAAAGTTACTGTGAATACTGAATTAGTGAATACTGAACTGTCGTTCCTAAGGGCAATACAGGATTAGGTTCTCAACACGGTGGTCACAACACGGTGATTAACACATTCTTGTTTTGTGTGTGTTTCTATATAAAGACACCTTATTTAATACATATTGTTGATAAATTAACAGTTGTAATGCAAACAGCATTATAACTGCCTGAAGGAAGCTTATCTAACACATATTTTCTACATAAGGTACATCACAGCATTCTTGTGCCTAGGATCACCATATACATCACTTCACTATACCTGGAGACCATTTTAAACAGTGAAATCATTGATGAAAAGCACAAAATGCAAAAAACGTGGCACTGAATGGACCGTGAGAATAACACTTGTTTAGGGTATGAGAGCTGAAGGAAGAGGGCAGTAGAGCATCACCTTGTTTGACCTGAGCGGGGAGAGTTTGCCATTCATTCGGCTACACACATTTTTTGTGCATGTGCATGGATGATGACGAAAGCACTGCAAGTTGATTTGGGGGTTACACATAAATGTTAGTAAGTAGGTGATGCATTTACAAATGTGAAATCTGCAAATAATGAAAATTGACTGTAGCTGTCATTCGAGCTCTCCTTTTTTCTATAAAGTAACTTTTTACTGTAGTGGGAAATACTTGGCCATTTTAATAATTACATGGTGATTTAAAAGTTCAGTCTAGGTATCTGTAAAAATTTTTTGAACTATTATCAATTTATGCTTATTTTCTAAGTAATAAGAAAACAAGTTTCTCCAAATTAAAAAATGCCTCAAAACTAATGGAAGTCCACATATCATCCTCACCAATTTTATGACCCTCCAAATAAGCATTTTCCCAAGTTTCAGAAAAGTCTAATTTTACTTCCACTTTTCAACTGTGTGTGTGTGTTTGAGAGAGAGAAATATAGCTAGAAGCACTTCTCTTACCTGATTTCACCTATGGCCAGTTTACAGGTACATTTAATCTAATAAAAATACTTTCTTAAAAAGGTTGATGGAAAGTTATTATGCTGGCTCTGTACTTTATCATACAAGAGAGTTTTACAGAAGACAAAAGAACAAAGGAAGAGCCTGGGATCTTCACATTCAAATTCATCTTCTTCATCTCTTACTGAGAAAGACCAGCATCATTCAAAACATCATCACCACCATCATCACCATCACCATCGTCACAGCAGTAGTCATCACAAGTAAGTACTCTGAAATCATGTTTTCAAAAATCTTCCCAGGCATTTTAATGCCATATATTGGGGTTTAATTTTTGTGTAAATCCTAGCTAGTTCTAATCTAGTTTGCGTTGTACATGGTCAGCTGCGTGAGTGTCTAGGGCTTTTCCCCACTTTATCCAGTGTATACAGTTATACACATGGAGTGTGTTTAGCTGGGTACCATAATAATAAAGGTAGGACGTTTAGGGAATTACAATATAAAATTACATCATGAAGTCAAAATATAAGTATATCAGAGTTAATAGTTTATTGATTTATGTTATCAAAAGCCTCGTTTAAATAATCGTTAGGATTTTACTTGTAAAAATTGCATTTACCTCAGGTATCATTAATTTACTTTAGTTAAAACAAAATTAGACCAGTGAATAGGAAATGTACATACATTCAGTATTTTTGAGAACAGATTGTAACACTGTCATTTGTGGCCGTGATAGAAACATTCTAAATCTTGAAGGTTCTTAAAGTGTGAGACATAATTTTTTAACTAGTGGTGCTTTGCTGTTTTGTTTTTTTTGTTTTTTTTAAACACATAGGCAGGAACTCTTCAAATATAAACAATTACGTACTTGATTTTTTAAAGTGCCTTGTAGGGAGGAGTTATATATTAGTAATATCTTAACCCTTTATGTGTGTAGTGTAAAAGTTTTTAAGTGTGGTTTTAGTTTTCAGGGGGAAAATAAAGAATATTAGAACAAACTAAAATGGAGAACACAGGAACATGATACATACTGATTTTCAGAAGAATTCACTGTTTTTTCCTAAGTTTCTCTATAAGTCTTTAAAGCTCTAGATAGGTAAAACATAATTTTATTTACCAGACAGTGATGTCTACCACATTTAGGAACACAGCAATTTTTTGGAATATAATATGGTTCTAAGATTTGATTCTGAATTGTAGGCAAGCACATGAGATTATGGGGTGTTTTTGAGGCACCAATGTTGTTTACTTCAGGAGCAATTTTTCCACGTGCCTTATTGTGTTGTGCTTTCTGGATATAACAGTGGTAGACTGCATAGCGACTTTTAATCTTGCTGTTTTGAAAAAGTCTTGTCTTTATATCCAAGTATCCCAAGGAGCAAAGGAACATGAATTGTCCTTGTTTTTGCCTCTTGCTTTAATAAAAAATATGACAAAATATGTGGCAGGCCTCCTCCTAGGACTCAGCCGGAGTGTCCCTTTCCCTTATCCTCTACAGATAAATTTGCCTTAGTATGATGTGAAAGGACTCAGTATGTTTATAAAGATCAAACTTTGTGACAGGTACTTAATTTTTTAAGACAGGTTTCAAAAGTAAAGGGAAAGAGGATGGTATTGACATTTTTTCCCCTTTTGATTATTTAAAAAATACAAATACTAATTTGTATTTGATGAATATAGACAGTTTGACAAGTAGGCAACCACTTTGTGGGATCCTATCTTAAGTTGAGTAGTTTAGAACGATTATGAGGAGTGTACATATTGTGATGGGGGGAGGGATGACATTTAGGTCAATCTGGATCCAGGAATGGCCCACCTCAGAAATCAGAAAGCAAGGATGAGAATTCTCTGTTTCTCTTTAATCATTAATCTGATGGTTCTCACTTGGAAATCTGATTAGTGCCATTAATTCATGTATGATTATGGTCTGCTAATGCTTACAATGAAGTTTTTAAAAGAAACAAAATGGCAGCTGAATTCCTGAGTAGGGTTGCCATTCATTGCCATAAGTAAAGAAAAACTCAGGTTCACAGAATTACAGAATTCCCCAACTTTGTTTTTATTTAGAATTGATTTTTTTTTTTTTTTTAGCTGAGCCATCCTGCTACCTGTTGGCAGCTTAGCGGCAGCTCAGCTTGGGGTGGGCATCGAACCGCTGTTGCTCAGAGCTCACACTATTGCGCGAGCTCTTAACCAGCTGAGCCACTTGGCCGGCCTAGAATTGATTTTTAAGAACACGGTCTGCTTTTCACTTTTGTTTTAAAAAAACTACAGCTAAAACAATGGTAAATTTTACACATACAGGTATACATATTTATAGTTATTGTATATATGCTAGCACTGTACTAAGTGCTTTTATATATATAATTAATTTAATCCTTATATTCCTCTAAGGTATGTATTATACCTATTTTATAGGTGAGGGAACAGAGGCTCAGGAATTTTAATTAACTTGCAAAAGGTCTCACAACCCAGGTCGTCTAACATCTTTTATATTGTATAAATAGTGTCTGGTATATAGTAGATGTTCTATACATGTTGAGTCAGTTAACTAGGGGTTAATGGAGAATTGGCTAATGTGCAACTACAGGGGAAAAGTTTGTAGGATTCATAGTGGATTATAAGGTAGTTATATTATTAGTATGATATGATGGAAGAGAAGTAGCATAGTATTAATTATAAGTAAAAGTTAAATCAGTTGTTACTATGAAATTTCCCAATATTTTCAGCAAGATTTCTTCAGAGTACTGACTAAAAAAAGATCTAGAGACTTTGGAGAGAATTCTTAGGGAAACTAGGAAAGAAACAAAGAAATTAAGATATTTCCTGATTCAGCCTGACACACAATTTTGAGCAACTTGAGTTACTCCAAAGGAAGAATCTTCATGTAGGATTATTAGGAAGGCCTTGACTCAAAAGATAGAACATCTATCTGAAATAGTAAGGGCAACCTAAGTACAGTGATTCTCAGACTTTACAATTATAGAACCCTATTGTGGTTTTCATGGTCATACACCCCACCTTTAGTATGATATTTAATTGAGTTATGGAAGTGCTGATTAAAATAAAATTCAATCCCTATCATTGTACCTTTCTTGAAGAATTTAAGATGACTAGTAGTCATCTGATTAGAATTTATCTTATTGGAATGTGATTTGTTCAATATATTAGCTTAGTCTGAAAACTTAATTGGATGTTTTTCTCTGAACAAACGATTATAATAAATACATGTAATTTGATTTCATTGGGAAGGATGCTGTTACGTGTAGATGTTCTAAATAAATGTTGCTATTAAATGTCATTTATATATTTTTCAGAATCAGCAATCTGAGTCCAGAACAAGAGCAGGGACTGTGGAAACAGAGGTAAGTAAATATGTTAACATATTTCCTGAAGTATTTTGAAAAGTATTTTTTTAAAATGCGACATCCCTTTAACCATGTTACTTAAGCTTTTAAAAAATCAGTGATGTTCGGTAATATTTTAGGGGAAGAGAATAACTTATCACTTGGTGCCTTAGCCCTTTTTACTCTAATTATTCTTATTAATGTTTGGTTTCAGCCATAAATCCTCTGCAGCAATTCAGAATGAAACTCCAAAGAAAAAGCCCAAATTGGAATCTAAGCCATCTAATGGAGATAGGTAAAAATGAATTCCTTTAGTGAAAATTCAACTTAGTTGAACAGTTACAGTTGATTGCCAATTATTATTAGGTAAAAGAATAGAAACATGTATTTTCTACATTGACTTTTAGTCATCCAGAAGAATAAACATAATCAGTTAAAAGTTTTTAGCTTAATTTTGGCAATAAGAAAGTGGCACTGCACTATGTTTTTCTATTTGGGGAATAAATTTGGGTTTTGAAAAAAGGAAAACATCTGAATAGAGAACGTTCTTTTTATCTTAATTATTCTTCAATGAAACACAAATCTAATTGTGATATTTTAAATTGACCTGCTTGGAAAATGTTTTTAGATTTAAGGTATTATGAGTGAGCGTGACTTTGTTTTAGTTCATTAGCCAAGTTTGCTGATGTTACTGTACAAATTGGCTGCCTATTGCTTTACACTAGAAGTATTGACCCCCTAAAAGCTAATACTGAATTATATTTCTGCAGGTGTATGTAATGTGTGCCATTAGTAAGGTAATTTGCCAGTTGCATCCATTTCTGTCAGGTACATATTTTTTTGCATTAGCCTTAAGGATGTTTGTGGAATTGTCTAATTTATGCAATTTGAACACCTGATAATTTTCCTTCTACTTCACTTAACTGTGTTTTACTTTTTTCTTTTTAGTAGCTCTATAAATCAGTCAGCAGATAGTGGGGGAACAGACAATTTTGTCCTTATAAGTCAACTGAAAGAAGAAGTGATGTCACTTAAACGTCTCTTACAGCAGAGAGACCAGACCATTTTAGAAAAAGATAAAAAGGTAAGAACATGGTTCACTGAAGCCTGGTAAGATTTACATCTTGACTCTTGATTGATAGTTGCAAATTCTGTTAGACTTTCTTTAATACTTTGGTAATGTTTGTTGTGCATAATTCTTAAAGACACATTACAAAAGCCCAAATTGGAACCTAGGCCATCTAATGAAGATAAGTAAAATAGTCTTTCAGAATTTTTGTTCTAAGAATTAATCGAGAGCTAATTAGAATTGTAGTAATTTCTGAACATTAGTTTTCAGTAAGCCTGTAATTTAAAATAGGTCTAATGTCTTAATTTGAAAACAAAATGTAAGTAGAATATTTTGTGAATTCTTGTGATTTAAGAAAGTAATTGAATATAGTTTTTGATATACCAATCATGTATTCATTTCAATTCAGATCAAATAACTGGCGAAAAGTAATGTTATGGGAATTTTTTGTATTTTAGTCAGTGATTAGCATTAGGTGTCTCAGATTATTTTGTAGGAAGTAAATTTTGTTTATTGGTTAGATCAAGAGGAATATCAAATATTTTGTCTATTTAGTGAAAAGTTCTAACTTTCTATATGAACTTGCTCAGAATGCTTTCACCTCCTTGGGCCTCAGTTTTCTCATTTTAAAAATGAGAGTATTAATATCTTATGGGATGGTTGTTACAATTAAATGAAAATGTAAAGTACTTACTACAGCTCCTAGCATGTTTAAGTGCTTATAGCTGCAATTACTAATGTTTAGTCATCTTTGAGGGTAGAACCTACTTTTACACTTGTTTTATAGTCCTAGACTATCTAGTTTGACCTATTTCAAACATCTTAATGCAGTAGGAAAACATTCTTTTTAAAATTACAAACAATTCACGATTATAAATATGTATATGAATTATCTGTTTCCAAGTAGCCTTAGTAGTGCTTCTGTCTGAGCTGGCTTTTACAATTCTGCTCTGGCCTTCAACAACTTTTTTTTTTGGTTTGGTTAACATTTCTAAGCGTTTTACTTTCTTTTGAATAATTTTTAAATTTATTGGGGTAACAATGGTTAGTAAAATTGTATAGGTTTCAAGTGTATAATTCTGTAATACATCATCTATATATGCATTGTGTGTTCACCACTCAGAGTCAGTTCTCCTTCCATCACCATATATTTGACCCCTTTTACCCTCATCTGCCACCCCCATCCCTCCTTACCCTCTGGTAACCACTAAACTGTTGTCTGTGTGTATGAGTTTTTGTTTCTTTGTCTGCATTTAACAACTTTTATGTTACATTCCCACACCTTGTCTTTTAGTGAATTTAAATTTCTTTTAACACAGTGATTCCAAAACCAAGTAGTAATGAATTGTGGGATTTTTTTTTTTTACTTTTTAAGATATTTTTCCTTTTCCTAGCATAACTATTCTATATTAGTGAACTTATAATTGAGTTTTCTGCTTTTGTTAGTGTTCCTTTTTTCTTAAAAAACTCTGATGGGGATGGGGCAATTAGCAGTTACAAGGAAAGTAACAATTGTAAGCCTAAAATAGCTGCATATTTGCAGTTTTTTCTTATAATGTAAATCTAAGACAACCAAGTTCTTGAATTTATTTCACTTTAGTGATTTTTAGCGCCAGCCACATACTAAACATGAGGATACAAAGATGAATAAGCAGTCCTTCCAAAAATTCATAATCTGGAAGCAACTCACAGGATAGTAATTAGAATAATTATCTTAGCTGGTCTGATGTGAATTGACATTTCGGAACAGGAATTCCTTTGCGATATAGAAAAGAGAATTCATTTAGTGTTCGATTTTGACAAAAGCAAGGGCTTTTATTCAGAGAATAAGAATGTAAGACACCATGACTTTCTTTCTCTTTGCTGTTGTACATATTTCAGTTTATTTCGGTTTACTAGCTGCTGGGTAATTACAAAAAAGAACTGCAAACCTTGAAAGCTTACATAATAAAAACCGTTTAAAAGTAACCAAAAGCTTTCTTATGCATGGTTCTAATAATGGAATTATATCAACTTCTTAGTGTAAAGTTGTAAAAGTTCTTAGTGTAAATGAGATTTTGTATTTTCTTTATGTCATTGATATTTATGAAAAGTTGTCATGTAGCCTTCTTTGCTTCCTCAAATTACTTTTTCTTACATTTGTCTAATTTAGCCCAAATTTTAAAGTAACCCCTTTTCTTGTTCCATATTAATTATATTTCTGTGCTTTGCTCTCCACTTTTACCTCAAATCTTAGTTGGAATCGGATACATCATTCTGGACACATATTTTCAAATGAAAGCAATATAGCTCGTTTCATGAGACCGTTCATTCCTCTTTGTACTTGCCCCATGTGAAACGTTTTAATCACTGAAAGATTATTTTAACTCAACCCTCTATCGGGTGTAACTGATCTCACAGATTCATTGCACACAAAGATGCCGCTATGAAATATGTCTTTGCTGTACTAAGTCACAAACACAACTGGCAGTAGGTTACGGTAGAGGGGGAAGATAAGGAAGCAATGAATCACGATACTTAAGTTAACTGTTACATATTTGAAAATTTGTGTGCAGTGAATCTGTGAGATCAGTTGAACCTGACGGAGGGTTAAACCAGTTTTATTGTTTGTTTATAATATACAGTCCATTTTAATGGAAGCATTTCCAAGGTATTAGCCATTAAGCTTTCCTGTTGGCATACCAGTTGACAAACTGTCCAGCGAAGCCATCTTTAAATAGAAACAAAAAGGCAACTTCTCCGAAGTTTTACTGATGGTTCAATATTATCTTAACATTAAAATTATACTATAGTAAAGTAGATAGAATTCGTCATTTCACAAAAATTCTAAATAAGTTATAAAACTCAGGAAGCTGCTGTTAACATTTTCCACTTTTATAATGAATTGTGAGTTTTAAATGATGCATTTGTATATGTGCATATATATATATATATACACACACGCGCGCGCGCACATATACATATATATATATATATATATGTTGTTGTTTTTTAAATCTCTCAGTTAACTGAACTAAAGGCAGACTTTCAGTACCAAGAGTCAAACTTGAGAACAAAGATGAACAGTATGGAAAAAGCTCACAAAGAAACTGTGGAACAACTTCAGGTAAATGACGTTTATGTAAACTGTTAGGCAAGAATGGCTAAACTAAAGGTGCATTTTCAGTTTTGATTTATAGACTTAGTTTTTAACCCTGCTCCCATTAAAAGTTATTGTTTGAAATTACATGATAGAGGAAGTCAGTTTAATTAATTCTAAAAGCTTTTACCTAAACTTCATATGAGGTTTTCAGAGGAGGGTATCATTGCAGTATGTTCAGTTGATCATCAGATGTAAAGCAAAAAATTAAAAATCATATTCATGAAACTAAAGTCTTTAGTACATTGTGCAATCATTCTTCTTATTTCCTCCCAGATAATGGGAAGCGAGATGGGTGTACAAACCACTTCTCAGGGACCTCAGGTGGAAGAAATTTATGCTGCATGAAGTGATGCAGCATCTAGGTGAACCTCAGAGTGCATATACTCATATACTCAGAAGGATGTCGATATAGGGAACAACTGAATGGAGAGGAAGCCAAGAGTTACCAATTACAGAGAGAGTGCTCTCTGATGTCTGGCATGCAGAGATGAAAACATTCAATGGGGATGTAGATTATATCCTTAAGCTTTTTCTCACCTAGGTTTCATAAATTGAGAAATGAGACTATACTGAATTACCTGTTATGTTGATTATATTGGGTTCTCGGAAAAGTCAGACGCATATTTGCAACAAAAACCAAAAAATACGTCATGACTTTTCCGACAACCCAATACATTCTAACATTTGTAGAATCAACCTTTGGGTAACAGGGTTTTCAGAAGTTTTAAAAGCGTAGATGATGTCAGCACACAGACTTGAGACTTGATGGGAGAGTGCAACTTGGGAAGGAAGGAATTAATACTGCCCTGGTTGGTTGGTTGGTTGGTTGGTTGGTTGGTTGGTTGGTTGGTTGGTTGATTTGTTGATAACAATGTAACACCAAGGGATATTTGATATTTCTATCTTTTGGTTTTGTATTCTTCATAGTTCTTTCAAAGGAGCTTAAATTGAGTAAGATTGTAAAGTGGATTTAGGAACCTGTTGAAATTTGATGTACAGGTTACCTGCTCTTAACACTGATCTTACTATTACAGAGAATTTTGAAGACAAACCTTGATTAGAACTTGGCATATAGTAGGCATTCAAATAATTTGTTGAATGAGTGGTGATTTATGGAAATGGCCATCTGCCTTCTGTCCTGAGAGATTACCCATATCATTTTTGACTTCTTACACATTATCATCATCTAGCAGCAAGTATTCGTTTTATTATATTCTCCTTTTTCTGATTCAGTTTTTAATGCTGAATGATTACTTGGTAACAAAATCTTCTGTATGGTGATCTCTCATTTAATGTGTGTAACCAAAACCCTGGAGTAAGTCGAGAATGAAGTGACGAAACAACTGTGAGCAGTACTTGAATATGATAACACTTAGTACTTCTCAATGTTTGAAAGGCAATTTGTTTTATTTTGTAGTTGTAAGCACAGGAGAACCTCTTTGACATCTTAGCCTGATTGACATCATAAGCCTACCTCCTCTTGGTTGGCAGCTGAAGTTTCATATGATAGCATATTAATTAATAAAGTACAACATTTTCAATATGATTTTACATAGGCTGTCTTATTTGTGCCTTAAAATAACAGTTATATGTCAGAAGTGACATAGAAACCTACATCTTCTGACTCTGATTTGACTGTACTTTCTCCTGTTCCACACTTTTCCCACCACCTCAGGTTACTTAGGTTTTCTGTTTCATCCTTGTTATCAGACCACTTCCCTATCTTTTGTGTTATTGCTGATGACATTCTGTCACAGTTAAGTACCTTCTTTGAAACCCCACTCCCTTTAGCAACCATGTACTAGTAGGTGAGTAAACATAGTGAACTATTTTTCTTTTTCTTATCTTTTTGTGATAAGAAACTAAACCCTGTACCAGGAAACTTACCTTTCTCTAATAGCTCTCAAAACGTTTAACTATCACACCTGGAGAAAAAAACACTGAGCATTACAAGAAAAAATTGTGCAGAATACCAAAACAAAAACAAAAAAAACAAACCCCAAAACCCAAATTATCTAAAATATCAAGAATACCAAATAAAAAGTCTACTTTCCTTTAGGAAATAAGGATAAAAGGGGACAGGGTACAAACATTTGAGTGCCTACTATGTGTAAGCCACTGTGTTAGGCTAAGTGTTTTATAATTTTGATTAGTTCTTTGGACTCCTGTTGTGAAGTTTATGTTTACAGATGAGAAAATAGACTCCAGGTTACATAGCAGATAAGTGGCAGAGCCAGGATTCAAAGCAGGATCTGTATGAATCTTACTCCAGATATTCTTTCCTTTAGTCCAGTGTTTCTAAACATTTTTACCTTGCTTGAGAATTTTTAAGTAATTTAATGGATTTTTGAAGGTGCATAATAAGTAAAATTAGCATAAAAATTTTAAATATATTTGTATTTATATATTATAAAATATATTTTTATTGTACCTCTGTTAGAATAGACAAACTTGGGCTTTTCTCCATTTAACAACTGATGCACTGTTTATTTTTCTTAAACACTTTTTCTTACATAATTTCTTAGCAAATAAATTTATTAGTGACATGATTAGAAGACAAATATATAAATGCAGATTGAAAATTAGCTGCTAAAGAATTAAAAGGAAAAATTGCTTTCAATACCTAATGTTTGAATTCTGGTATTTCATACTTAGGATATGAAAATTATAAACTCATTTTTTTTTTTATTGATTGAGAAAAACTAATTTGAAGATTAACTTTTTAATGATTTGGTGTGTCAGTATAAATGCTTCTATATAAATGTAACTTACAGATCTAATGGAGCTGTCTTTGAGGCACATTTACAGGCATCCCTTTTTATGCCCTTCTTAAAATTTGTATTTTAAAATTTCTTAAGATACATTTTTTTAGTCAGTAAGTCTATTAAGTTACAAATTAAATAATTTGTAGCTAACAATAAAAAGAAAACAATTCAAAACTACCACATTGACTAGGACTGGTCTGCTGAGTAATAAACCAGTCAGTAAAGAGTGTGCTCACTTGACTTCCCTTAACGCCAGGCATTCTCATTGATTTGACCTCTGAGTTTCTCAAACTGTTTAGTTTTAAAGGGAAAATAAAATCATTTTAGATTCTTGATGGTTTTCTAAATTTGAAATTGAATTAGAAACTCTTAATTACCACCTTAATAATTTAATAATCGTAAACACAAATGCTGTTAATCATGCAGTGGAACATAAAAAATGATTTGCAAATATAAGATTGCTCTAAGAATATTTGCATTTTGGAGGTCATAAGTTATGAATTAGGGAGAATTTGATTGGAGAAGACTGGAGGGGTGAAAGTACAAAGCCTGGAAAGGTTTCTATTTCATGGAACTGCTTTAAGATAGTATACAGAGAAGGCAGGATGTTAATTTGCCGTACAAAAGCTAAAATTAGAGTAGAAGATGAAGCACTGAGGTTAAAAAAAAAAAAAGCCTATCTAGATAACAAAAAATCTTGAGACCTGTGAAAGAAAATTGTTTTTAAACATAAGCTACAGAATATCTTTTAAAATTCTGTTATTTTAGGGCATTGCTCAGATTCCAAGCTATTGTCAACAGTCTCCCCGTTTTGGCCCAAAAATTTCAAAAGTGTTTGATCATTAGTGTCCTTATATAGTATATGGAGGGTCCTTATTTATGTTTCCACAGTTAAGAGATTGCATAGGGAGACAAAGGCAGTGAAAATATGAAAATATTCTGAATACTGAAGGGTCCCTACTTACAAATCCCTCCTCACTGAACACTAGTGATTGTCAGGGCACATTGGCTTAAGAACAGTGTCTTTGTCAATGGCGCATGGAACATTTGAATAAAGTGCAAATTCAGTTCAGGTAGATGACAAAGTGCAATTGTGAATCTTTGAAAAGAAATTTCAGCCTTGCATGAAACTGAAAACAATGAGGATGTATCACTGCTCAAATTTTATCAAAGCTAGTACCAAAGGACTGGATGACAGATAAAGGAGCAAAAATAAGATCAGAAAGGGTGATGCTGATGGGTTAAAAAATAATAATAATAATAAAAAAAATTGGGTATTAAATTAAGAAGAGAGCCCCTGTGGCAAAGTGATAAAATCAATATTTTTCCAAAAAGGACTTCTTATACTTGTTCTAAAAATAAGTGAACATCAAATGAAAGATTATACAGTCTGTAGGGAACTATTGCATCTTAATCATCACTTAAGCCATTTGATCTTATTTATTACAAAATGAAACTTATTTTCATGGTTTTTATCTAATGTTTTTAGGATAAAGAGCCAAAAATTTTATCCATATTTAAAATTTTGACCCTATTTTAAATGGATTCACTGTAAGTTGTCTTTTTTATAACCGATTATAAAAAGATGAATCTAAATATACTTTTTCATTTAATTCTGTTAGTGTTTCAATGAATCTTTGCTCTGTAAGTGAAAAAAACAGCATTAAATAAGTAGTATTCTTCAGCATGACTTAATAATATTTCAAACATTTTTAATCTTAAATGTTTCTGTCTCCCACAGGCCAAAAACAGAGAACTACTCAAACAGGTTGCAGCATTGTCAAAGGGCAAAAAGTTTGACAAAAGTGGAAGCATACTAACATCCCCTTGAGAAAATTATTGATTTAGTGTTTCTGCTGAAAATGTAAATTTGAAAAAAATTCTGTGAAGCCCTTAAATTCTGTGTAGTGGAAGAATATTTTTGCACACCAAATGAACTGGCGTGTTTCCTATTCACTTTTGTAACTGATATACAGCATTTTTTTAAGTTGTAAAACATTCAAATAAAACTTCAACTGGCTTGAAGTAACTTTTTAATTATTTGATATCAAGGAACTTTTTTGCCAGCAATAGTATTAAACAGTTGTGAAGGAGTGCATGAGTAGTGCTCTTTATAAAATGCAACATGCAATAATAGAGTAGTCAGAGCAGCAGGGTTTTTGTTTTTTGTTTTACACTATGCTAGTTACAGATAAACATTTTCAGTTCAAAAATACAAAAACTTTTAAACAAGGAAAGTGGTGAACACTGGTTTTTTTTTTAGTAATTGTTTTCACTTTACATCAACAAATTTAGGAGATAATCATGGTGCTTTATTAAATGAACTTCAGAGAATATGTAAATATGTTTTTAAAAGTTAGATCATTAACATTAGTTAGTAAACTAGTATTTTCATTATTGGTATAGGAATTAATGTTTATTGTACAGTATCCAAGGTAAAATGTGTTTTGTTTTGTAAAAAACTGTAGATTTTTACTTACAAGTGCCTTTTTGCCACCTAATGTTTTTATTTATAGGAATGCTGATCTTTTGTATATAAAGTTTGTTTTAAAATCATGTTTAATAAATGTTTGTATATAAATGCATATGTACAGAGCCTATTTCAGAAGGAAATCAAAATTGCTAGTAAAATGTTTGAGGTTGCATTAAGAACTGAAAATGCATATAGACTTTAGATGATTTTGTGGTTTGTTTCTGTGTGATGCGGGAAGCCGTTGGTCATTGAATTCATTGAATTATGTCAAAATACTTCCCCAAAAATTTAACTTTAAATCACTTCTGATAGAGTAATTATATTTTTATGTGATACAGCTTCATGTTCATATTTTGTAAGTTACATGTTTTGCTTTATTTTTCTTTTATAAAAATTTTAAAAGTTTATAAGTTTTTTGCATTGGTCCATATATCTGCTTTCCCTATAATATGTCGTTATCTAAGTTAATATTTATATACACCATACTTAATTTGTAAGTTTTAAAGCAAATCTGGAAAAAAATAACTTTTAAATCGATCTGTGACTATCTTTGAATAAATTGGAATCTATTGTAAGATTCAGGTACTATTTATAAGAAAATTATATCAGAGTCTTTAAAATTGTCTATAAAAGGTTAAAGTAGGGTGGGATAGGTTATGGGAAGTTATTGACTAATTATATTTTGATCCATTGGTTTTCAGTCTAATGGAATTGACCTGCTTAGTAACTGCCAGTTCAGACTTTTAGTTTGATTTTAAAGCATCAGGCATTGCTAGATATACTGGATAGAGTGGAAGAGTTCTTTCTCTTAGGAATTTATGGGCAAGGGCAAATTTGTTTCAAATAAACTGTTGTTAAATTTATCAATTTTGAAGATGTTTGTAAACAAGCATTGATTATGAATGTCATCAAAGGTCGTCTTTGCTCAGAACACAAGATGAGTGTAATAATTGTTTTTAACACGACTTATGTTTCAGTAGATTATTCTTACAGTTACTCATTAGAAAGTAATGTCAAATGATTCTGTGTCCAAGATATATTTGGGGTAATTTTCAAGTGATAGCAAAAGAGTGAATGAGTCAGACTTGGAAAAACTAAACTAGTTTGTTTTTATGAGATGGTCATGCAATAATCTTCCTAAATTTAGTACTCAGCAATGCTAGGTAATACCTTCTTAATATAAATTTTAATGTTTGCAGAATTTGCTAAATTCATAAGTTAGTTGTTACCTTTCTTTAAAATTTGTAATGTTTTATATTCTGGTTTCATAGTCATTTGTCAATCCACAGTTGTCATATGGTTTTAAAATAAGCGGTGTAATAGTTCTTATACCTTGTTGGAGCTGCTATAAAAAAAAGTGCCCCTTCCCACTTTTTTAGTAAATAACAGATTAAAAATGGAAAATCGGTCTCAGTAATTAAGCTTGTAAATTCCAAGCCTAAAATCTTTTAGGGGCTTCACAGTATTTAGTCCTAATTAAATAGCCTCTCTATTCCATGACCTTATTTTATAACTTAATTTTTTTGCAGTTGTATAAACTAGCAATTGCATCCCAGTCCTGGATCTGTAGTGTATTGACACAATGAGCTGATGTTCTTTAAATGTGGACCTGTAAGGAGATACTATGGTGTGCCGTATTGTGCTTTTTAGCCTGTTTTCAGCTATTAGCATTTACCAGTGAGGGTCATTTTGGCTCAAGTTATTTATGTATTAATAGCCTGTGAATATTACAGTCCTTTTTAGATTGTATTGGTCTAAATATGCATTTTGCAGTGAACCTGTTAAGCTGTTCACATGTATAGACTATTGAAATACTGTACTTGTACACACCTGACTGTTGACATTTTGTACTTTTTTCTAAATCCAATATTTCACAATAAAAACTTGTCAAAAACATTGTATTTTCTATTGCTGTTATAACAAATTACTACAAACTGAGTGGCTTAAAACAGCACACATTAATTCTCACGGTTTTGGAGGCCTGAAGTCCAATCAATTTCAGTGGCTAAAACAAGGTTCTGGCAGGGCTGATTTCTTCTGGAGGCTCTAGGGGAGAATCCATTTCATTGTCTTTTCCAGCTTCTGGAGCTGCAGTCCTTGCATTTTGTGGCTTGTTGCCCCTTCCTCCATTTTACTAGCCGGAAGTCTAGCATCTGTAAGTCTCTGCCTCCATCATCCTATATGTTCCCTCTTTGGTCGTAGTATCTCCCTCTGCTAAGGACATCATTGGGCTCACCTGGGTGACTGGGATAGTCTCCCCATCTCAAATCCTTAATCACATCTGCAAACTACTTCTTGTCATATAAGGTAACATAGTCACAGGTTCCAGTAATTCAGACCTAGACACCTTTGGGACCGTTATTGAGCCTACCGTAAGCTTCATCAGCATTTTCCCAGTATGAGGCCCTAAAACAGATTTGAGATAATTGGCTCAGGCCAAACAAACTATTTTTTTATCTGTTCATTTAGACTGCTTTTATGAAATAGTTATTTTCCTGGGAAAAAGTATATAAATCTCTGTTGAGCTATTTCAAAGCAACATCAAGGTATATATAAGTAAAGCAAATCAAGGTATATACAGTCAAGTTTTTGAAAAGTTGGAACATGATAAGAACCATGCTAGGTTGTTTGATAGAAAAAAAGTTGACATTATGTAATTTACAGTTTAGTTGAGACAATATACATAATAAAACATCTAGAACTTTGATATTATAAAGTACAATGAAAAACTAATAACTTTTTGCAAGGGCATTCCAAATATTAGGAAGGTTAGCCTGTCATTGCTTTCTCAAACTTGAGCATGCCTCAGTCACTGGAGGGCGTGTTGGGGGCAGGGGATGCTTGTTAAACACATGTTGCTGGTCCTCAGCCCCAGTCTGAGTCCATAGGTCTAAGACAGGGCCCAAAAATTTGCATTTCTAAGTTCCCAGGTAATGCTAATGCTTTCTGGTCCAGAGTCAACAGTTTGAGAACCAGTGGTATTTAAAAACAAAAAATAAAAGATTTAAGGGATAAGTGGAAGATACTTTGGGAAGAATTCAGAAAAATTATTTAGAGCCCCATTTTAAAAACAGTTCAGGTAGAGTGTACTAGATTTTTGAAAAGGAAGTGATTTAAGACCAGATAATTTTATACTAAAAGACTAGAAAATATAGGAATCAGTTTCTTCAACTGCTTTATTTTAGTCAGGGAAACAGCAGGAAAGGTTACATGGCTTAAGTTTTGACTTTTATTAAAAAGTCCTGCCGTTGTCCAAAAAAAAAGTTTGGTTGTCATTTGGTTTAAGTGACTTGTACCTAGATAGCCACTCAATCAGTTTTTTGTTTTGTTTTGTTTTTTAAAGATTTTTATTGGGGAATTGGGGGGATGGGA